TTGAAAATCTGAAATAGCACAAAGTTTCCTGTGAGGGGTAGGTTTAGGGGTAGGGTTGGTGTAGGGCAATAGAATATACGGTCTGTACAGTATAAAAACCATTACGCCTATGGGATGTCCCCACTTTTCACAAAAACAAACCTATGTGTGAGAGTGTGTGTGTGTGTGTGTGTCATCACAGCCAGTGATCGTCCCCAGAGCTGTGATTTCCACCGTCAGCTCTGAAAGCACGCAGGAGCCATTAGTGTTAGCCTAGATACGTCAAAACACTTACTGAACCTGAGGCTGGAATTAACCCTTGATTCCTGACACACATTCACTGCCATTCCATGTGTATGAACACACACACACACACACACACACACACACTCACACACAATGGTGACACACACACACACACACACACTTGATCATATTTGAACTGTATTTCCCAGCAATCATCAGACTATGATGATTACGTGTGACGGCCGTATTCCACGTTTGTCCTACATATTAGCCATATCTCCAGCGGCTCTGCTAAAGATAACGTTTCCCCTTTTACTCTTAATTATGGATGATAATGTTGTGTCTAATTAATGTCCTCTCCGTTAATGCATTCTGACGCGTTCCGGCCTGCAGAGACTCCGGCCTCCTTCAGACATTTCTACAGCGCTTTATACAGTACAGATCGATTCAAAGCAGCTTCACAGAGATAAACAGGAAAATAACAGTGTAAAATTCATCAATTATGACACAAATTGAATTTAAACTGTAAAGCAGCTCTACAGAAGATAATAGTCATTATTCAGATTCAATTGTTTGATTCTTAATTCGAAATTTGATTCTTAACCATCAATCAGAAAACAATCATGTCATAATTCAGCTCAATTTGGATTACATTCACTTTATTAACAGTCAATGTTGCAAAATTCATCAATTATAAAACAAATTCAATTCTTTGATTCTTAATTTCGAAATTCGATGAAGCAACTCGACAGAAGAGAAAGTGTCAATTTAGCTCAATTCAGATTCAGTTAAATAAGTATCAATGTTGTAATGTGAATAAATTATCAAACAAATTAAATTCTTAAATTCTTAATTTAAGATTCAATTTCAGCTATAAACAGCTCTACAGAAGACAACTGAATCATTATTCAGATCAATTCAGTTCACTAACCGTTGATGTTTCGACGTTTTAACTATAAAACAGATTCAATTGTTTGATTCTTCATTCAAAATTCAATTCTTAACTATAAATCAAATCAAATCAGAAAACAGTCATGTCATAATTCAGCTCAATTTGGATTAAATTCTGTTCATTAACAGTCAATGTTGCAAAATTAATCAATTATAAAATTAATTAAATTCTTCAATTCTTAATTCAGAATTCGATTCGTAACTATAAAGCAACTCTACAGAAAACAATCATGTCATAATTCAGCTGTAAAGCAGCTCCACAGAAGACAAGTGTGATTCAGATCAATTCAGTTCAATAACTTTATCAAGTTATTCAATTATAAAACATTAAATTCTTCAACTCTTAATTTGAAATTCAGTTTCAGCTGTAAGCAGCTCTACAAAACACAATAGAGTCATTATTCAGATTAGTTCAATTCAATTATAGAGTGAGCGTTGCGAAGTTCAACTATAAAACTATTTAAATTCTTGATTTGAAATTCAAAATTCGATTCTTAACTATTAAGCACAAGACAATGGCCTGGTTTCACAGACAGGGCTTAGACTAAGCCAGGATTAGGCCGTAGTTCAATTAGGACATTTAAGTCATTTTCATCAACATGCCTTAGAATAAAACATTACTGGTGTGCATCTCGAGACAAAACAAAGGCACTGATATATTTTAAGATCAATCAGTGCAAGTTACTTTCAGTTAAAACCGCTCAGACTTACACTTTAAGGCTTAAGCCTTGTCTGTGAAACCAGGGGGAAAGTGTCATAATTTAGCTCAATTCAGATTCAAATGTTCTAATGTGAATCAATTATCAAACAAATTCAATTCTTAGATTCTTAATATGCAATTCAATTTCAGCCATAAGCAGCTCTACAGAAGACAACCGAGTCATTATTCACATCACTTCAGTTCTAGTTTTGTTCTCATAGTGTCATATCGATAATATTTCTTGTACAGAGACTCAGATGTTTATTTCTGCATCGTGTCAGTTTCTTCTTTATTTTTACGTGCGGATTCGTCTGAGAGCGTGTTTTATTTCAGAGTGTGTTGTTGATATTTTATGGATATGATCATGACACTTTCACAAACGAGTCACATGTGCACTCAGTGATTCTACAGGACAGATGCGTGCTAATAATTGACGAGGTGCTTTTATCTCCATTTCAGCGTCTGCAGGACGTGTCTGTGGAGTTTAACCATCAGGATCTGCTGGACTTCTACAATCAGGTCAGACTGAGTGCCGCTGATTCCTGATCTTCAGTGCGTTCAGACGCTCACGGCTCTGTGTGTGTCTTACAGATGGAGATGATTCAGACTCAGCTGGACTCGCTCAGCTGACACAGCTCCGGTGACGTCTGTGCTTGTTTCTGGATTTGTGTGTTTCAGACTGAAGCTCTGGAGTGTTTGAGTGTGAAGTGTTAATGAACTGAAGCTCTGTCATACGTCTGATGATGTTTCATTAAAGATGCTTTTGCTCTGAAGCTCCAGCGTCTGGATTTATGACTTTGTTGCCTTCTCAGTGTTTCTGCAGGTTTTATGAAGATAAACGTAAGACTTTTTAAGACCAGGTCAAGAAAATGTAAGGAATAAATTGAATATAAAACAATACATCAATATGGTTTCTGAATGTATTTTCAAACACTTGTGGTTTAAAGAAAATACAACAACTTACTTTATAATTAATTTCATGAAAAAAAAAATAGTTCAACTCAAGTTTTGCTCTGCTCCCAAATACTAAAATATGCCAATAACTTGTCGTTTTCCAATACAAATACCTAAACAATCAATCATTTACTTAAAAAACTAGTGCTGTCAAACGATTAATCGCATAAAAAAATAAAAGTTTTTATTTACATAATATATGTGTGTGTACTGCGTATATTTATTATGCATATATAAATACAAACACATGCATGTATATATTTAAGAAAAATATATACATATGTTTATATATTAAATATATTTATATATAATATCAATATATAAAGGTGTATACATGTAAATATTTTCAAAATATATACTGTGTTTGTGTATTTATATATACATAATAAATGAACACAGTACACATACATATATTATGTAAATAAAAACTTTTATTTTTGATGTGATTAATCGCGATTAATCGTTTGACAGCTCTAAAAATAACAAAATTATAAGCCTTGTTTTATAAGAAAACTGATCAAAATAAAGTGAGTTTGTGATTAAAACAAGAACAAATATCTGCCAATGGACTAAAAAAAACACACAAAAAATGACCCTTTAAGACTTGCACTCTATTTGTTTACCAACTTCTTGTTTTCTATAAAAAAAGACCTCTACCTAGCTTTCTCTATTCTTTTTCTATTTGTTTTCTTTTGATCTATTATATAATAAAAAATAAAAATAAAACTTGCTACGTGTACTGCTAAATGTAAATGTAATAAAAATTAACTTAATTCAAAATACTTCATTGGCAGATATTTGTTTCTTGTTTAAAGCATAAACTCACTTCCTTTTGATCGATTTCTCAGAAAACAAGACTTCATATCTTCATTTCGCATTTGCAGTTTGTTTGTTTGTTTGTTTCTTCTTAATGCCATTCCAGCATCTATGGCTATATTCATAGCGAGAACCAGTCGATCCATACACAAGTCTTTGCATCTGCAGTAAATGTGTCTTGATTTAAGGATGTTTAGATATTTGTACTGGAAAACAACACAAAAACACAGAGCAAGATATTCATTTTTTGCAGTTCATGCAACTTTTTTTTTTTTGCGGTGCATGCCACAACTTTATGAATTTAAGACTTTGTGCTCTGATTTAAGACCTTTTAAAGGAGACATATTATGCCCCTTTTTACAATATGTAATATAAGTCTCTGGTGTCCCCAGAATGTGTCTGTGAAGTTTCCGCTCAAAATACTCCACAGATAATTTATTATATCAATTTGAAAATGCCTATTTCGAGTGGAAGCAGAAACATGCTGTTTTTCGTGCCTGTCTCTGTTTACATTAAAAACACACATGAGTTACAAAAACAGTCGGTTATGTCTGTGAAGGTAAACAGCTGGGAAATAAATCTTTTTATTTATTTATTTAGTTTATTTTAGATCTGTGTGGCAGCAACATTATACAGTAAATAAATCAATAAATGCACTGCTCTGTTGTCTCCTCTGAGGCTGGGACTCTAAACAGTGTTCTGTGCTCTTCTGTGCAGCCAAACACAGAACAGTTAACATGTTTTGCTCAAACTTTCTCCATGGCATTAGAACTGGTACACCGTTGTCGCTGTGTGACGGAGCCGTGGGTGTAAACTTACAGATTAAGGGGCGGTGATATCCCTTTGCCACGTCACCAAGGGGGCGAAATCTGACGCGCTCGTTTTCTCAGATGCTTGCAAAAAAAGGCTTACCAAAACAAAGTTACTGGGTTAATCTTTATCACGTTTCCTTGGTTGGTAGATGCACCGGGGACCTGATTATAGCACTTAAAACCTGGAAAAGTCAGAGTTTCATGATATGTCACCTTTAAAGCCTTTATTTGTGGACAGGTGAACGCAGACTCCACAGAAGCCCTGTTTTCAGGAGAATCTGTTTGCTGTAAGTGTTAACCGAGTTCAGATCTGCTGCTCGTCGGTCAGTAGGTGCTTCTGTGTCTTGTCTTGAGGTGCACTCGTTCTGTCCGCCGCAGGGAAACGTGTGACGCACAGATCTCTGAACAGATGGCGAGACTCCAGCAGAGACCAGCAGAACACAGAGTTCTGGAGGAGCGAGCCGATCACAGGCCGTCTGGACCCAACACAGAGCTTCATCTCGTGATCCAGCAGATGTGAGAGGAAGCACAGAAACACATTCTTTCATTAAACTCCACTAGCAATCGGGTTCCTGGTGCCATCGTACAAAGAAAATAATTTTTGTCTTCCATATTTTTTCATCAAAGTATGATAAAGCAAAAAACCCCAAGAAGCCGTGGTTTACAGTGAATTTATAACAGCTAAGGGGCGTTGATAGGCACGACGTGAAGCAGAGTAAATAAATAAAAACAGTATTCTTCCACCAAACAATGTAGATCCTCAGAAACAGT